TAAAAGAAAGAATAAGGACCTGTTCCATATTCAAATAGATTAAAGAGATATGACAACTGAATGCAATGTGAGATCTGATACTTTCTTTTAGTATAAAAGATGTTGTTGGTGTAATTGGCAAAATCTAAATAAGGTGTAGATTTTAAATAGTATTCTATCAACACTAAGTTGCTGATTTCGAGAATTGTGTTGTGGCTATATAAAAGAATGTCTTTGAATTTAGGAAATAGACACTGAGGTATTTAAGGATAAAGCATTATGTCTGCAACTTATTCTTAAAAGGATATATATATATGTATATATGCATATATATATATATATATGAAGCACATGATGTTAATATTTGAAAAATATGAGTTAAGTGTATATTAACACATTCTCCAGCAATCTATAAGGCAGAAAAAAAAAAGGCCCAGTTTTGGTAGCTGGCCCTTATTTTGATTTCATGCCTAATCATAGGAAAAATATGTAGACATCTTGTTCTTTACCTCAAAGATCACTCTCACTATTTTGTACCACGGTCTGTTCCCATCTGTAAAGACTTTCTCAGATTTTCAAATGCAGTTACTTTATAGCCTTGGTGAGCTCAGTTTTAGTAGGAATAAACCTTGTTGAAAGACTATCTTTTCCAGGCTCAGCTGATCATAGAGTCAACATGATAACTGAACTATCAGTGCAGTGTGGTCTGACATTTCAGGAAGGGTGCTCAAAGATAGTGCACTTTCAGCCAAGGAGGGCACATTTAAACTTTTCTCTCTCCCTCACTCCTCTTGCCTGCAAAATGGGTATGATAGCAGTCATCTTGGACCGTGAGTTGAATCTTAAAGATGGAAGTCAGGGCTCAGACGGTGGAAGTGAAGGCTGGAAAGAGCCTGGCCATTGATGATTGGAGTTACTGAGAGAAATAAACTTTTATCTCACTTAAGCCATTGATATTTTGGATTTTGTGTTAAACCCTTTCTCAGCTGATTGACCACATTACTCTGAGATTCTCAAGAAGACAGTTTCTCCAGGCACTTACTATATTAAGATATCAAACCTACGTTACTGATATTTTCCCCAGCTTTCCAAATTTGGAATGCATTATGGAATGAGTATACGCTGAAGACTAAGTTATTGTTCTTCAGTTTAGTGGAGGAAGATTGAGTCAAACTTTTGCTTCACCTTTTGGATCTTCCCATATAGGTACAGGTGGAGGACCCAGAGGTATAGTGATGATGGTTTTCTTCTGGTACACGGGTGGTACATATATAAATGTATATATGTTCTTCTCTTATTCCAAGGCTTTAGAAGTTCACGAGGTCTTAAAAGGGAAGGCTTCCAATCATTGGGAGAGGCCAGCAATGTCAGGACATGCCCACTCTTAAGAGAAACTTACAGTAGAATCAGTCTCCAGCACAGATCCTCCTAAGATAGCACTGTCAATGGATCTCCTTCATGCTGAAGAATTCCACTGGCCCTCTAATGCATCAAACCCTCTGCTGGACTGGAAGACCTCCAACCTGTTTTTCCATGCCCTTATTTCTCTCAATCTTATCAAGAAATTCTCATCTTTGTAAATCAGCTACATCATTCCAGTTCCCATCACTAGACTTTTCTTACTCTCTGCCTAAGTTTACTTCAGGTTTTATTTTTTAATCTTCCTAACTTTAATATTATTTGGGAACCAGTCCAAGTTTCATGTTCTCCTTGAATTGGCCGCCAGTTAGCTGAGTGCTCACTGATTTCTCCAATTGCAGTGGGGTCAGCAGCACACAGTTTAGTAATTAATCATCCTTATATCTTTCATGGCGTGGCCATCTCCTTGGACAAGATTAACACTTCCTTGAGGGTGGACAACACGGCTCTATCTCTCAATATATCCCATAGACCTATGGGATATATTCTTTTGTATACATGGCTTTCTGTATCCATGCTGTTTTACTAGATTTCAAAACACTTGAATGAAGCAAGTAAAAGGTATTTAAAAAGACAATCACTTAATGGAAAGGAAAGCTGTGAGGCTAACAAAAGCAAAATAATTAGAAATAAATAGAAAATAAATTGGAAATAAGAATTAAAACTTACTTCCTAGATCTTCCTCTTCCATTAGATAACACATGTTAGAATGCAAGCTCCATGAGGGCAGGCACAGTAGTTTACTTTATTTGCTGATAGATCCCCAGTGCTTAGAAGAGTGTCTAGAGCATAGTAGGTCCTCAATAAACATTCATTGATTTACTGAATGGGGGCTTTTGAGCCTAGACAAGAATTCAGCTCATTATTAAAAAGGAACTTGGACATATTCTTCAAGAAGGTGCCAGAAGAAGTTTATTCTATTTGACTGCAAGAAACAAATAAAAAATGGAAGGTGTTGGGGCACCTGGGTGGCTCAGTTGTTAAACGTCTGCTTTTGGCTCAGGTCATGATCCCAGGGTCCTAGGATCGAGCCCTTTGTTGGGCTCCTTGCTCTGTGGGAAGCCTGCTTCTCCCCCTCTCACCACCCCCTGCTGTGTTCCCTCTCTTGCTGTCTCTCTCTCTGTCAAATAAATGAAATCTTAAAAAAAGGTATCATGTATAATAAAGAAAAATATGCATAAATATATATGAAGCACCTGTTTCTTTCATGTTCTTAGCTGATTAAATGAGGCTTCAATAAATAGGTTAGTAAATTTGCTATTTTTTTGTGTTTGTGAAACAAAGCGTGTTTTTGAAACATGAAGAGAAATCATTTCATTAAAAAGGAAGCTAATAATTTATTTTAAGAAGTGAATAATTCTCTATACATGTGACTCTATCACTATATAAATTTGTCTAATCATATGACAGGTTTGCCTGAAGAGCAGCAAACTGATGATGAGGGAATGCGGACCAGGTTCTTTTACCCATCAACCTTCCACAAACATCCCACCCATGTTAATAGTTATCCTTATTGATAGATGGTGGGACTCCTAGATGGAAATATTTACAGGGGTAGGAATTTAGAGTATGTTTTAAAATAGCGATATCACATGCAGCTGGGATGCCCTGATTAGTACCATGGAAACTCACCTGAAGTTAAATGGAAAGCCCCTCAAATTGCCCAACTTAGAGTCATAAAAGCCTGTTTCACCGAAGGGTTTATAAATGAACCATGTAATTTTGTGGCTCACAAGTAAGGTATAGTAATGACACCTTCCCATTTGGTATTTACTTCTACAGGTTGGAGCAGCAGACACCTGAGGAAAGATCTGAAAATTAACGTTTTGATCCTTTGGAGGAACCACATCAAATGGTGGGGGCAACCAAGGAGTGTAAACATTCTCTACAGGAGGAGACATTATGGAAGGGTCACTGGAGTAACCAGGGCTGAAGACTTACTGCCAGGAAACAACAGACATTCTCCTAACACCACAGAAACTTCTGGGAGGACACCTGCATTGCCCAAGGGTGCTCTATGAGTCAGGAATGGCAATGAATACAGCTCTACTGTGGGCTCCGGATCTTAACGTTGCTTCTAGATAACAGCTTGAGAGAATAAACGGATTCTCACCTTTTCTATGCCTTTGCGACATGTAGATTCTTAGAATAGAAGTAATTAGTTCAATTAGAGAGAACTGGCCCCGACCTAGGTGAATCATGGGATTGCCCTAGTAGTTAAGATGGGGGTGCTGGAGGTAGAAAAATGTCACTTTTACAACCACTGTGGTTGTATGTAAAATTTCAAGTAGGGGAAGGGGAAACCATCTTAGGGCTGTGTCTACCCATCTTGGTCATGGATGGGTGAGGGGAAAGGAAGAGCCAGGGATGTCATGGCACATGTGAAGTGAAGGGTATTTTTCTCTTCCTTTCCAATGCCCCATGGGGACTCCATTTTCTCTCAACTTGTCACAGTCTCACGGACCTCCACAACGCTCTCAGTTAGCCCTTCCATCTCCTGCCCCCCATCTTTCCTTTATCCTGGATTCTCTGGCAGTGCTTGAGCTACTTTAGGGAGACAGGTATGCTTTTCTGTGCTTCTTTCTGTCCTCAGCAGACTGGCCAGAGAGGAGTCCTTGAAACCCACTGACCCTACAAAGTCCTGAGATGACCTCATTGTATGCGATTAACTCACCCCAAACTGCCTAGTGATTTCCATGGAGATTTTGCCAGTGTTGGAAAGGTATTATGATACTGAATCTCAATATGCTGCAATAAATTAAGAAATGGGATTAAAACCAACAATCCTTAGCACACACTCATACACATCCATAAATACTGCTCTGAAATTCAGAGGTCTCTTCTAGCCTCACAGTTCCCATTTTTACCAAGAAAAGGCAAAAGGAAACAGAAAGAAACAGAGAGGGAAAGAGAGAGAGATTATGGTGGATGGGGGTGGAGGGATGGTGGGAGAAGAGAAGAAAATTAGGGAATCAAAACAGACCCAGTCCTGGGGATGCAGGGATCAGAGGTGTACTTTGCTGCCCTCTCTGTTCTAACCTTAGCTCCCTGTTCTAAGGTAGTAATTTCCAAACTTGAAGGTGCTTTAATGGGGAGTGCACGGCTAATATGAATTCTCAGGCTCACCCCTAAACATCATGATTCTGTAAATCAGGAGTAGGACCTAGGGATTTTCCTTTTAACAAAGACTTCAGAAAATTCAGATTCAGGTGAAAGTTTGTAGGTGGTAGTGTGTGCGTGTGTGTGTGTGTGTGTGTGTGTGTGAGAGAGAGAGAGAGAGAGAGAGAGAAAGCTTGTTTGAAATAAATGTGAACATACTGGAAATTCAGGGCTAAGTTATTTTGACCAAAAAAAAAAAAAAAAAGGGGGGGGGGATGTCCAAATCAAAGAAGGAAAGGGAAAACTTTATCTATCAAATAGGGGAGATGTAGTGTAATTATTTTTCTGTTGTACTTTTTCAACTGACATATGTGATGTGATGAGGTTTAGGATCGGAGCTCACCAAAACTGTAGCCTAGGCTTCCTCACAAAACTTTTGGTTGGTGGGGCCATTCAGACAACAAGCTATATTAGGAGAAAAGAGAGTGATAGAAATGACATACCGATCTGAAAATGCGGAGTTCTGGGTCCAGGTTTGGTGCTGCTGGGGGCAAATTTTTTGTTCTCTAGCATCATTACTCTTACCTCTAAAATGAAGAGTCTGGGAAAGATGGTCTTTTGGTTCTCTTCCAGCACTGAATTTTGAAATCTGCAGGAAGGCCCTATAGTGGCCTTATTGAGTGATCCATTGTTTTTAAAAACTGGATGTCAGGTTAGTCCATAGGCACCAAGGTGTTAAAAGACAAAATACTAGCAACAATTTTACTAAGCCTCTACCTGGTACCAGGATCAGAGCTTCACCCTTGATGTGTGTTTTCCCCATTCTCCCCCAAATCCAGTGAGCTGGGTTTCTTTACTATCATTTTGTGATTTAGGATAATATGACTGAGGGAAGAGAGGTGGCATAATGTAGGGCTTGAAAGCAAGGATTCTAGAACCTTGAGCCCTGGGCTTGAATCCTGACTCCACCACCTACTGACTCAGGGACTTAAGTCCAGAAAAGTTACTTAACACTCTCTGAGCCTTAGTTTCCTCATTGGTGAATGAGGATTATAATGGCGCTTCCCCCAGGGGGCTCTTGTACATGATACATATTATGCAAGTGTTTGCTTTAACGGTTATTAAATGTTTTGTTAGAGTTGAGATTCAAAGCCAAGTTTGTTTGAATCTGAAACCCATGCTAGTTCCTTGCCCAGCGATTGGAATAACGTTGCCAAGCGAGTGTCCAAGCCCAAACACAACCCCAGTGAGTCAAGATGCATCATTCAAAGGTGAACGTCAACAGTAGCCGGCAAGGGAGCATACAAACCGTCCCCCAAGTAGGACTGATTAAAATTTTAAGCCATTATATTTCATATAAACCTTCTGGAAACTTTGAATGAAACCCATGGTTCAGATAAAATTATGCGATTAAATCTAAAAATCATATTTTAAGAAAATTCACACATACACATAAACACACTGTTTGTCACCTTCAGTTTGTGTGTAATGTTGGAGTAAAAACTTTGAAGGTCAGTGAACTGAGGCACAAAACCATGTAACTATTTACTGAATGTTAAGTGCTCTCTTGGACTCAATAGTCTAGTAGGGCTCATAATTAAAGAAAGAAATGTATTAAAGAATTGTTGTGATAAGGTCTTTACCCACACATTTATTATTTGTTTATTATTTGACACCAATTTCCCTGTGTTCTATCCTAGATCTTTTCCCTCTGTGGAGGAGCTTCAGTTTATCAGTTATCTGGACAACGTGTAGGATCATCTTCTTTCGCATTCTCTACTGGTCAAATGCTTATCATTTTAAGTGTGATCCCAGCTTTATTCTGCAGGTTTGTAGAAGTTTAGCTTAGTTCTGTAAATACATGTAATATAGTTGCAGAATATAGATACTCAGTATTGCCTCTAAATAATATTCGTATCTATCTATAACCTATATCAAATGATACAATGGCTAGCAGGTGGTAAATAACAACTTGTTAAATGAAATAAGAGAGTAGCCATCCTTCCGCCGGCTCCGGCATCTGGTTGGTGGGTGAAAACTCGCCCCATCTTCCAGCAGAGGGCAGTAGAATACGCTCTCTAGCTTATCGAGGCCTTCGAGCTACGGCTGGTACTTTAAAAAGAAGTACGGAGTTCAGATACGTTTTGAAGAAAAGAGTAATGTGAGAGTTTTGCTGAAAACAAATTCAGAGAAAAGTGGGGGTTATGAATCAAAATAAAAAATTATTTCTCACTGTAACTTTCTTCTTTAGGGAATTGGTAATTGGTGCCTCATTCTAAAACATTCATCACCACATAATCCTGTACTTTTCAAGGACCTTTGTTAATTATCTTCTATATTTAGATAATTTATCTGTATTGTATTTCCCTGTGAAATAGGTTATAGGGAATATAAATCTGCCCCTACGGTTACCAGTTTATTTAATAAAGTAAAACTGTGCCTTATAGTTACTAAAATATCTAATGGATAAGTTCATTTATTTGTTTTTTATTAGTTTATTTATTAGTTATTCAAGAAACATTTAAAAATACCTTTAAAAAACATTTTTAGGGCAGAGATAATTTTCCAGAGCCCCACCTCTATAAATAGTTTTTTTCCCAAACCTTGTTTGTTCATGCCAAACCTGTCAATGTGATGTGTAGAAAGTTTTCTCAGTCCTTGCCCTTTGATCTCACTACCTGTTAGATCATATTTTCTTTTTTTTTCCTAAAGATTATTTATTTATTTATTTGCCAGAGAAAGACAAAGTGAGAGAGGGAACACAAGCAGGGGGAGTGGGAGAGGGAGAAGCAGGCTTCCCTCAGAGCAGGGAGCCCGACGTGGGGCTCAATCCCAGAACCCAGGGATCATGACATATTTTCATATTCTTTCACTCACGTGTACATATCTCCATCATCCACAAATACCCACACCTCCCTTGTCCTTCCTTCAACTGTGGTTATCAGTGTCGCTGCCAATTTTCAATGAGGAAGATAAAAAGTAAAAGAAGTAAGAAGGTCCAAACGTTCCTGCCGATCACAACTCCTTGAAGTATCCTGGTGTTGGAGACACTTAGCTGCTTCTTGGCCACCGTGAAGGTGAAACTGTAATTTGGGGGAACAAATGAATGGGGAAAGAGGGGCCACAACAGGAGAGAAAGAAGGGTTTGCTGAGCAAAGTCATATACACAGCAGTTTCTGTCCTGGATAAGATTTAAAGGCAGTATCACCTTAAACATTATATATATATATATATATATATATATATATATTTAAGATTTTAAATTATATAAAATATATATTAAATATATATATATATTTAAGATTTTATTTATTCATTTGAGACGCAGAGATACAGAGAGAGAGAGAGAGAGAGAAAGCATGAGCAGGGAGAGAGGCAGAGGGAGAGGGAGAAGCAGGCTCTTCGCTGAGCCAGAAGCCCGATGTGGGGCTCGATCCCAGGACCCTGGGATCATGACCCGAGCTGAAGGCAGACGCTTAACCATCTGAGCCACCCAGGCGCCCCACCTTAAACATTATATTAAATCTTATTTTTTATAGGGCTAAGGGACTGGATCATATTCCATCTATGGTTCATTCCAACTTAAAATTCTCTAAGTAACTCCTCTTACCTTAGTGTTTGAGCGGTTTGATGTAACAATCTTTGTCAACAACTTTTTCTGCCATCTCAGGCATTGTAGGGATAAGGTTTCTGTTCTCTTGTAGACTTTACAGTCCAGTAGAGATCATAAATGAATATAGAGAATAGTAAATGAAGAATTATATGGTAACAGATGGCAACTTAAACTTATCATGGTGATCATTTCATAACATATATAAATGTCAAATCACTATGTTGTACACCTGAAACTAATATAATACGGTATGTCAACTATACTTAAAAAAATAGAAGAAAATGCAAATACCCTCTGATGAAAAAAAAGAATTATAATGTTGCCCCTCCATTTAGCTTTTGTTTATTTATTTGACTAACATTTACTGATGACCTATTCTGTGCCATGTACCCCACCTCCATGGAGACAGGAAATAAATTATTCAACAAATAAACAAATAACTTCAGATAGTGGCGAGTGCTATGACAAAAGTAAATACAGTCACATAACATGGATTGAATGGGAGAAGAATGTGTCCTGATTGGATCTAATTTGGTTTAGAGGATAGTTTTGGTAGTGGTGAGGGATATCACAGAATGCTTACCAAAGGATGCGATATGTAAATTGAAGCCCAAAGGATTCGTAGGTGGGAGAAGGAAAGGGAAGGTCATGGGTAGAAAGCATTTCAGTATATGCAAGATCTAGGTCATACTACTTGCCTTCTCAGGTTGCTGAAAATGTGCAAAATCTTCCCAGGATCTCTGATGAGTGTGGTGGGCGGTGTGGATGGGGAAGCTAGCAGGGCAAAAACAGCAGTCAGTGGTCTCTATACCTTGTTTAGGTATTTGGACTTGTCACAAGAGTCATGGGAAACTAATATTCATTGAAATGGAATTGCTTCAAGTTTTAAGAAATATTTTCCAAATATGCTTTGGTACAGGGTGCCATTTTCTACCTTGTGAACTCTTACTTTGGGATTGGCAGAAACTTTTTTTTTTTTTTTTTTGGTAAGAACCCTGTATTAAACATCGGTTTTCCAAAATACACTTTTAATTTCATTCATCTATTCATCATTATTTAAGTGAATATTTCATATAAGGCATTGTTTTGGGTGGTGGGGATACATACATTAGTGAACAAAAAATTTAAATTTCCCCACACGTTCCCCAGACTTCATTTGAAGGGATAAATTGGAAGAGAATTCCTTAGGGGATAGTTTTGTCAAGAACTGTAAATGGTCTGGAATTTTACTTTATTTGGAAGCTAACAATTTAGCCCAAGACAGTTTCACAGAAGCTGGCAAAAGATAAGAGACCTCTAGGTCAGAGACAAAAGACTTTATTATTTGTGGTAATAGCTGTAGCCAGAATGTAAGCATCTGTGTCAGTTCCTAGGACCCCAGGACAATGTGAAGGAGCCAGTTGATACCTATACATACAGTGGGTCATGTTATAAGAGAGGAAATCTAAGTTAATGAAACATAAATCTTTTATAAAGTGCAATAAAAAAAAGCATGGCTCTCCTGTCCTCTAGCAGGAGATATCATCTCTGTTTTCCAAGACTTGGCAAATCTGCTCTTTGCTCCAGAGGGAGATACTATTTCTATTTTCCAGGCCTGTTCACCATATGAACATCCTTGAGGAGCTAGTTCAGATGAAAGTAGTTAGTGCAAAAGATGTGTGGAAACACGAGAGACCCATGCAGATTTGTCTCCCAACAGGTTTGTCTTTGTTTTAATCAACTCAAAGCATGGGCCACAGAATTATCATATGGCCAAAGTAAGACTGAAAGTTCATCTGCTTCTTTTATTAGAAATAGTATATCTGGATATATCCTTAGTGGGCCTACAAAGGTGAGCTGCATAGCCAACTTCAGTGCATTGGATCTGTATGGTTTAGTCCTATCTACAGACATTTTCTCAGAGAGGCTAAGAGGTTTGAGGGTTCTATATACTCCCTTTTATACTGCTTGGTTTTTTTAA